TTCCTAAAAGGGTTTGTGCCTTTGGCCGGGCACATTCCTTCTTTCTCTGGTCAGCAAAAACGGTTACCACTTATAATCGAGCTATTTCATCCGGTAGACTGCCCACGGATGTTTTAGCTCAACCACTGGGTGGTCGCACGATAAAGCACCTTTTCCGCATGGATGTACATGGTCGCATTACCCGTACTACAGCAACGCGGGTAATAATAAATAGCAACGCGCACCAGGTTAGCCGGTGCGATCGTGCGTTTTGTGTAGTTCAGCCCATCGAACGATTGCCTGTTGATGATTTTCACTGCTTTGTACTTTAGTCTGTGCAAAAATAGTTCAAACGTTGGAAAATAGTTAAAAATTTCACGCACCAGCACAAGAAAGCTGAATTCGAAGCCTTGAAGAGTGAATATCTTTCCGTGTTTCTCGAGTTAATAGTTTACCCGCCAAAATTTTCACGAGGCCGCAGGTGATACTCAAGAGCGCGGGAACGCTGAATTTGAATAACTTGGGTAGAGGGTCACTACCCGAAAATTTCAGCTTCCTGGACTCCATGGTTCCCGAGATAATAATTTACCCGTCAAAAATTTTCAGTGGGCCGTACGTGTTACCCGCGGGTACGGGAAGGCTGAATTAAATTTGCCGCGTCACCTACTGGCGAGGAACATTATATCAAAATTTCAATTGCCTAGCTCTTGTGGTTCCCGAGTTGAAAGTGCGGCACAAAATGTGGGATACACACACACACACAAACACACAGACAACCCGGTGACAATATGCGTTTTGTACTGCTGTTACACAGCACAAAACGCATAACAAGATGTGTGGTCTGAATGGTCCATGTTCGCACGTACATGACAAATACTCATTTTCATCGTAGATTCAAGAGCGAGTGCATTTTGCAGATTTCGTCATCCTTCTCCCTTTCTCTGTATCTCTCTCTCCATATTCTGTTCTTTATCAGATTTGACAGTTACATTCACTGGCGGGGGTTGAACATGCCTTATAGTATTTATTCGAAAACCGTATTCTGGCGGGCTCTCAGTTAGCACAAATTCCGTTGTATCTTTTAAAGCACATGATTTTTTTTTTTCTTACAGGTCAATGTGTTTGATTTGGGTCGTACGTTGAATTTTCTGGCGCGTTCGCTGAAGATCAGTCTTCCGACTAGCGATCCCTGCATGTACATTCTACGATTTGCAGTTTTACTAGATTTTGGCGACAAACAAAAGGAGGTGAGCAAATCCCTGCTGTATTTTGCTAACGCTGTATTTCACAAGTTACAGTCCTACAGTATTTCGTTCAGTATCTGTTTTGATCATCTGTTTTTTTTTTTTTTTATTATTACATTTATCGTGGGGTTCTGTGAAATTGAAAGCTTCTGCTCATATCCGTATGATTTAAATCACTGAGTTCAGTCAGATCATTGGCAAAGGGTCTTTCGCCAGGAACTCAGGTAGCAACTGTTTTACTGCAGAAAACTCTGTTTGATACGCCTGTCGCTTTCCTGCCCTCCAAGGACCTCCTATCTCCCCGTTCGATGCGGTAGTTTAGGGTCGACTAGTGCGGGGGGAGGGAGTAGCGGGACGATTGAGGGGTGGATAGCGAACTGACCGAGGGGGATGGTGACGAAGGGGGAATGGAAAAAAGTCTCTCCCCCTCCCCTCCAGGAAACCCCCCTGAATCCGTCTATGATTCACATTACCCGGGCAATCATTTGAGGATCCTATTTTAATGTTTTTGCTGAAAGATGTAAGACATAGTTTTGAGGGATGCTACAGGCCCCGAGCTGCGCATCTTCAGTTGGTCGCCATCTCATTCTGTCGGACTTTTTTTGATTGCTTCCTCGTTTCCTGCTCAGCTAACCTGGCTATTGGCCCCGCTGTGCTTTCCCAACTTTCTCTCCTTCTGCTCTTCCTACTTTTTCCTCTCCTTCTCACTCTCCCTCACACTCTTCCCCTTTCACTCGTCCTTCTAGCAGATTAGTTACATGTCCTTTCAATACATGGCAAGTAGGAGGCTGTACTGACGATTCCCACCTCTGGCCGCATGCATAGTCCGATCTGTGTTTGCAGCTAAGGGATGAAACACAGACTGCATCGAAAAATACCACCCTACTACTTCTAAAGGATAAAGGCAATTTGCACCATAAAAAATCACCTTACACATGATGCCTGCGTACAATCCTGTTAGTCTA